TCATGAACAATATGAGTTATTACTTTGTATAGGACCCGTTTGAGCCCTAGAGCAGACCGGAGATCCCTCCATTTGTTGAAAGCTTCCCGATGTTGACTCTCATCTTATTCAGACGCCTAGTCAGAAGTTTTATTTTTGGGGTTATTTTTGGGGTCAGGAGTTTGCGTTGGGGTTTGGAATGAACTACAAGCCTTTCTCTTTGAATCCATCTTCTACTTTTGTCGAAAGTTGGCTAAAGTTGTGCCGCTCGAGTTTTTTTCTCTGATATGGAGAATGGCGGCAAATACACAAACTTGCCAGACATAGCCAGGCGAGCGTGAACGCGCATGACATCACGCCCAGTCTCAAATTCGAACCCGAATCCCTCTTATGTATTTTACTGTACATAGAGGCAATCACAGTGATCAGAGAAGGGCTTATTCAGCCCATCAGGCAATTGTTTAAGCATGTATGGGTTAGAAAAATGGCTATTTTTAACATAAAATGTTGCGCAATGAACCTTTGCACCAAAATTAGAAATGAGATAAAGACTTGAAATCGTCATTACATTTCACCACCACCCTCTCAATTTTCTCATTTTAGTTCTACCTGTCTTCATATTTTAGACTGTTGTCCCATTAAAACCTAAACACCTTATAAGAAATACACAGCGAACATGTGTGTAACATTTTTTGAATGACAAAAAATGTCTTATCGCGAGGCATTGACACCTGACCGGCAACGATACATTGCAAAATTAACTGCAATAGGGTATGACTGCCCTTATTTAATTAAAAACTGGGTCCAAATCACCCAACCAAATGGCCGGAGGTGTAATTTCCAGATATGAAGAGTTCAGATGCAAAAGCCTCTAAGTGCCGTTTGAAATTTTCTTCTAAAATGATCATTTTTATCAAGCTTGTATATTTAAGTTTAGTAATTTCACTTAAATGGCAATGAAGATTACCTATTAATTGTCATTTAAGTGAAATTACTGAACTTAAATATACAAGCTTGATAAAAATGGTCATTTTAGAAGAACATTTCAAATGGCATTTAGAGGCTTTTGCATCTGAACTCTTCATATATTCTGTTATCTGGTTTAATCTCCAGGAAAGGCATTGCGGTAGGTAGCTATAACTCAATCATATGTTATATTTGTTAAAAAAATCACGTTTTTTTTTCCCAGCTGACCTCAAACATGCACTGTAAAAAATATTTTCAAGATTTGTTATCACAACATATTTTCTTTTGTCAAATCAACTTTATAATAATTTATTTAGTTGAGATAACTTATTATTTTGAGTTTCTGATGTTTAAATTAATCTACTTCATTGTATTAACTCACTTTTTCCAGTTCAATCAACTTCAAATTTTAAGGCAACCCAGGTTACTTACTTTTTTAAGTTAAACCAACATTTTTTTTTACAGTGCAGTAATCACAACATTTGTTCTTTTGTCAAATCAACTTAAATAATTTATTTAGTTCAGATAACATAGAATTTTGAGTTTCTGATGGTTAAATTAATCTCCTTCATTGTATTAACTCACTTTTTCCAGTTCAATGAACTTAAAATGTTAAGGCAACCAGGTTATTTACTTTTTTAAGTTAAACCAGCAATATGTTTTACAGTGCAGGTAGTCCATTCAATTAAGAAATCAAATCATGACCCTGCTGTTCTTAATAACAACAGGCACATCCCTATACCTTTTATCTCAAAAGTTCTTGAAATGTTGCATGATGTCAAGTTCACTCTTATTTTGATCTCTATTCTATCTACAGTATGAGTAGCATCATGTCAGCTTCACTCTTATTTAAAGCTCTATTCTAAGTTTCAGTCTGGTTTCCGAGCCCTTCACAGTAATGAATCAGCTTTACTGCAGGCCCTCAATGATATTTACCAGACAACTGATGCTGGAGATTTTTGGCATATTAATGCTATTAGATCATAGCTCAGTTTTTGACATGGTGGGTCAGGATATTCTCATATACTGAACATGATCTGGGGTTAAAAGGAACTGTCCCAATTTGGTTTAGTTCCTATTTGAAAGATCGAAAATTCTCGAAAGTTTGTTTCGGTTACTCTGTGACTTCAGCTGCTCACCTCGACTTCGGGCTCCGTTTTGGTGCCTACTCCTTTTTTCCTTGTACATGCTCCCATTGAGATAAATTATTAGAAAATATGATGTGTCATTTCATTTTTATGCAGATAACACTCAGATTTTCATCCTTCTTAAACATTCTGGCAATAATTCACTCAAGCTCCAGTATGCCTATGATATTAAAAAAGGGATGTCTGCTAATTTTATATATATATATATATATATATATATATATTAAATAAAAACAAAACTGAGCCACTCTTTGGTCCTTCTGATGGTAGTCTAAGGCATCATCCTCAACTGCACATCCTTACATCATTATAGTGAACACCTGTGTTACAAATTTTTGGTTTTCAACTAGACAGTGATTTGAAACTTGACAAGCATCACCTCACTGGCTGCCAGTTCATTTTAGAATTGATTTTAAATCCTCTTATTTGTTTATAAGAGCTTGAACAACCTGGCTACCCAATATCTCTCTGAGCATTGAGTGCAACACATACTTCCAGAGGCCTTAGATCAAGGAGGCCTCTGATCAAGGACAGCGACTTCTATCTATTTCACGGTTCAGGCTTAAAGAAAGATGTCATTGTGCCTTTGCAATTGCCGGTCCTAAACTATCAACGCATTCTCATCCCAAAGCGCCATATAGGACGCTTTTGCAAAAGCGTAAATATCCAACGCACATGGCACCCTTTAACGTCTAATGAGACGCTTCGGTTAATGGTTAAGTTTAGGTATGGTGTAGGGTAAGGGTTAGACCACTAGGGGGCGCCTTCTGCCCAAATATATATGCGTCTCATTTCACGTTAAAGGGTGCCATGTGCGTTGGATATTTACGCTTTTGCAAAAGCGTCCTATATGGCGCTTTGGGATGAGCTATGGAATAGTTTGCCATTCAGGTTAGATCTGCACCTTCATTACAAATTTTCAAGTCACTGCTAAAACTACTTTTATTCACTTGCTAAGCAGAAATTTGTGTCATGTATTTCTGAGTTATTGTCTGTTTTTGATGCTTTGTAAAGCACATTGGTTAGCTGAGGCTGTATAAATGGTGCAATATAAATAAACTTTTCAAAACGTCAAACTGATTTTTAAGCAGAAAAGAATCTGAACAAGCAAAAAAACTGAATATATCATTTCAGGTGAACATTTTAATGTTATGTTGTTTTACATTTTCTGTGCTGTATATTCAAACTGACTTGCATTTCAGCACACACAGTTGTCTAAATTCCAGGGCTCCATTTCAAGTCTCAGAAACACACACACAGACACACACACTTGAAAGCCAACGTCATACAGCATGGAAATTGTTCCATCAGTACTGTAGTTTGTCCATATGCCACCATTTTCTTATTGTAAATCTTAAGTAAGATGCATTTATGTATTCAATGTTGTCCATGAACCTAATTCAAAATGATGGGCAGCAGACAGACGTCTCACACAGGATATCATCAATTTAGCTCATAATTTGCACACTAGTTGATCTGGAAGCAAAGACTACCTTAATCCACCAATATGATGAAATCAAAGTGCAATAGGATGGACAGGAGTCTCAAATGAAGCACTTGCGTTCAGTGCTTTGAACTTTAATATGCACATGATCTTAGCAGGAGCGCACGGGGTAGAATAAATTCATTTTCATCCTACCCAAAAGGTTCACTAGATGGAGCAAAGACACCTCTTAAAAAGCACCGTTGCCTCTTTCGGTGGATTAGCACCAGCAGCGAACGGTTTGCTTTCAAGGTATCTTTCAGTGTGCTGTGATTTGGAAATGTTTATTCTTCAGCATGTTGTCTTCTGTGTTTTGTGAAAGTTCAAAGACTCACGGGGGTAGAAATACACATGTCCTCAAATGCTCAATAGACCCATTTTGAAGGGATTTTTTGATGTTCAAAAAGGCATATCACTTGGATTGGGAAAACTGTCAAAAAAAAACAGGGGGTAACATAGACAATTTCAAAATGAACGCTGGCTCCTTTAACCGGACAGAAATCATTTAAAATTTGTGCAGGCTTTTTGATATTTGTTTGTCCCTCATCTTGCACATTTTGATAAGTATATTAATCATAAAAAAATATTTTTAATATTATCATGAAGAGACACAATTTCTGCTCTGCAATTAGATGACAGCTCTTCTATGTCCTGCCAGCTCATCATAACTCATATTTGATGTGTTGCCGATTGGCTCAAACATCAAACATGCTAATAGATTACAAAGAGTGACTACACTTTCTTCTGTGATTTGTTTTATACACTGTAAAAAAAAAAGTATTGTTGGTTTAACTTAAAAAATGAAGTAACCTGGTTGCCTTAAAATTTTAAGTTAATTGAAATAGAAACATTTAGTTAATACAATGAAGGAGATTGATTTAATCATCAGAAACTCGTTTGAAACTATGTTATCTGAACTACATAAATTATTTAAGTTGAATTGACAAAAGAAAAATGTTGCGATTGCAAATCATGAAAATATTATTATTATTATTATTTTATATATATATATATTTTTTACAGTGTATAGGTTTTCTTTTCCCTTTGAGCGTTCACGTTTAGATTCTTACATAAAATGGATGGCCCATCTGGTCAAGCTTGCAGAACTTAAATATGCAATATACCTGTCAAGTGATTGAAAGTTTGTTCATTGTCTACTGCTGAAAAAGTAAAATTCTCAAAGGCTTTAATTAAAGTGTATGGCAGTGTGAAACTGTGTGTGTGTGTGTGTGTGTGTGTGTGTGTGTGTGTGTGTGTGTGTGTGTGTGTGTGTGTGTGTGTGTGTGTGTGTGTGTGTGTGTGTGTGTGTGTGTGTGTGTGTGTGTGTGTGTGTGTGTGTGTGTGTGTGTGTGTGTGTGTGTGTGTGTGTGTGTTTGTTTTTGTGGTTTACGAGGACATTTGACCTGAATACGCACCGGCACTATGGGGACATTTGGGTTTACGAGGACAGAGGCCATGTCCTCATAATTCCGACAGTGTAAACGCCATCTACGATGTCCCAGATGCTCCCTCTCAAAGTTTGGCGCCATGTCTTTATATACCACAAAACCCTGAAATTTTACCATACACAGTGTATCCCTGATTTCGCGAGTGTCGCCCCTGTAGCCAGGTCCCGGTATTACACCCGCGTCATCAAAAATTTGCATGTTTTACACAAGTGTATGCTTCGAGGCCTGTGATTGGACAGATCGGTACCGGTAGGCGGGAAATTGCGAAAACACAATGGCGCCGGTGGGCGGAGCTTCATTCAGCGTCAGCATAGTCTTTATAACAAGCAACTTAATGCAAAATAATTATTATTTAAGTATTTTTGCCTGTAATTTATTAATTGTGGATTAATTGTATGATAAATAAATAAATAAAACCCTGTTTATATTATGATAAGTTAGACGTAACTTAATCAGGTCACGGTCGTCACGGTCACTTCCTGTTTGAACGAGAGACAAACTCTGGACCTGAAAGGACCGAAAGGACATATCTGGACCCGATGAAAGCAACTGTTATGTGTTAGGTAAGTTATAATGTTGTTTAATTGCTTCTCTAATAGCACCTGGGTCTGTTTGGCTTGTTTGTGATGTCCTGTAGGCTCTTTGCTGCTCGTTTTACAGTTAGAAAGCAGCTAGCGCGTGATGCTAACGGAGCTAGCGGACTTTTAAGTTAGTGATTCTGTTTACAGACTGACATGAGGGAATCAGCGATGCTTGTGTCATTTTAAACTCGTTTTAGATTGAACTTTAATTGTAACTGCTACCTTTAATGATCACATAAAATAGTCTAGCCTTCATAATAACGCGTTGTCATGACTACAGTCTGTGTTTTTTTCCCAGTACAGTATATTACTACAGTTATGCTTACATTAAGAAACATGTGCTCTTATCACTCCTGACTATAATTCAATATACTCTGAATATTAATATAACTGTCAGTCTGATTAAGTCTTATTAATACTGTCACTATTGCCTGTAATTTATCAATTGTGAATGCAATTTATTAAATGAATAGTTATGTTCAATTAACATATTCCTTAAATATCATATAATAAAGTATGAAAATAACTTGAATGCCGTTTACCATAATTTATCGATTTATTTAAAACAAACTTGTTGAATAATATGTCAATAGGTCAGGATTACTCCAGGGCAGATTCAGCCATCATTATAAAGCTGAATTCAGTGTTTCCATGCTTAAGTGACACTGTTTAATAAAGCTGTGTCAGGTACATGATATGTTATTTACAGTTACTTGTTTTATTATTAAAAGTTAAAAATGACCCAATGTAATAGACAGGCACGATATTGCAAAAAACTGATATTGCAATATTTGTTGTTGTTTTTTTCTACAATACATAATGCAACATATAAAAAGCAATTTCTACAAATGACTTAAATAGCTCTATTTGGCAATAATGAATCATTCTAGAATGATTGGCGTGATTTTGTTGGGGTTTGTATCTGTATAGAAAAAAATAAGCATAGATAAAAAAAATGTAACAAGGATGTGAAATAATCAGTGGCTCATATTTTCCAGGTAAGTCTAGCAACATTTAGGTACTGAAATTGAGTAAATAACTGTAAAATAACACTGCATCATCTTTAGGTTATGCATGTATAGCCTGACTTCACATATGCCTAATACTGCAGTGTCACTAGACTCACTACCACAGATAGGTATGAATGATAAAGCAATATATTGTGCAGCCCTACAGATTAATGTTCAGGGCTTTAGTGCATCACATTACATGCGTGTTCATTACAGTATGTCAGGTTGTGTGTAGCTTTACACCTGGTTTATGAGGACACCGTTTTATGAGGACATCATAAGAACATGTTCCTGATGTTTGACTTGACTGGAGAATCTGTGTGTGTTGTGTAAGTTTGACAGAATCCTGGTCTATGAGGACACAGTTTTACCAGGACACAAATATGGAATATTAGGATCTATACTGATATACTGACCCATAATTCACAGCTCATTTTGTCAAAAGGTCAGGATTACTCCAGGGCAGATTCAGCCATCATTATAAAGCTGAATTCAGTGTTTCCATGCTGAAGTGACACTGTTTAATAAAGCTGTGTCAGCTACATGATATGTTATTTACAGTGTTGATTTTACTTGTTTTATTATTAAAGGTTAAAAATGACCCTATGTAATAGATCGGCACGATATTGCAAAAAACTGATATTGCAATATTTGTTTTTTCTACTATATACGTATAATGCAATATAAAAAGCAATTTCTACAAATTACTTAAATAGCTCTATTTGGAGATAATTAATCATTCTAGAATGATTGGCGTGATTTTGTTGGGGTTTGTATCTGTATAGAAAATAATAAATGGAAAGCATAGATAAAAAAATTTAACAAAGATGTGAAATAATCAGTGGCTCATATTTTCCAGGTGAGTCTAACAACATTTAGGTACTGAAATTGAGTAAATAACTGTAAAATAACACTGCATCATCTTTAGGTTATGCATGTATAGCCTGACTTCACATAGGCCTAATACTGCAGTGTCACTAGACTCACTACCACAGATAGGTATGAATGATAAAGCAATATATTGTGCAGCCCTACAGATTAATGTTCAGGGCTTTAGTGCATCACATTACATGCGTGTTCATTACAGTATGTCAGGTTGTGTGTAGCTTTACACCTGGTTTATGAGGACACCGTTTTATGAGGACATCATAAGAACATGTTCCTGATGTTTGACTTGACTGGAGAATCTGTGTGTGTTGTGTAAGTTTGACAGAATCCTGGTCTATGAGGACACAGTTTTACCAGGACACAAATATGGAATATTAGGATCGATACTGATATACTGACCCATAATTCACAGCTCATTTTGGCGAATACCAATATCAAAAACTATTTGTGCTTGTTAGATTAAATGTAATCATTGAAGAAGTTAAAAAATAGTAACCTCTGTTGAAATTGGCTTTCAATAAGTAATAATAAAATTTGTACTTGTTTGTCTTTATATATATATATATATATATATATATATATATATATTATTTGCTCTTCTTTCTTTTTTTCAGATGATAACTGATAAGACCATGTTAATGTAATAATTGAGTTATTCCTTAAAGAATAGAACAGATTTCAGTTCCTCAGAAACAGATTGTTATCAGTCACTGAATTATGATTGTGTGTATAAGAAGTGAGTCATGATCACGTACTGTATTTCTAGCACAGGCGCAATGTCTCGTATTATATCACTCTCATACATAAACATACTTAAACTCAGGGTGCCATCCAAATGTTTCTAGTTACCAGTGTCCTGGTAAAACTACTGTCCTCATAGACCAGACTTCTGTCAAACTTACACAACACACTGAGATTCTCCAGTCAAGTCAAACATCAGGAACATCTCATCTCATCTTATGATGTCCTCATAAAAAAATGGTGTAAGACACGTGACATTCTTTAATGAAAACACTTGTAATGTGATGCATAAAATCCATTAAAATTACCTTGGCTAACATTTAAATATTGAAATGTTTTGTAATCTTGTATATTATCTCAAATCAATATTTCATGTGGAAATAAGTATTGATAGGTAGCTGTGTATCGGGACCCTGATTATTAATAACTGGCTGACTACATTGTCCTTATATATTATTTATGATTTTTTTAAACTCTTAGGTGAAGTGTTCTGTATGTAATGCTTTATTTCATATTTTCAGATGAGCCATAAGACCCAGTTGTCCTCAGGCAGTGATGATTATGTGCTCTGACTCTGGGACTGCACGAGGTAAGTGAGAGTTGTGCTGGAAGAGAATGAGCAAACGAAGCAGACACATTGTGAGATCTAGTGTTCACATATTTACACCAGTGTTTCATGTCTACTTTTATGTTTTGTAGACTCCCAGTGAGGTTGATTGCTCCACTCTCGAAATCAACACTCGAAATCAAGTCGGAGATGAACAGAAGGTATTGTTTTTTGTTTTTTTTATTTTTGGAAATCAAATTAGGGATACACAGATATGAACATTTGGGCCGAGTTCAATAACTGATCATTCTTTATATTTGAAAGCCGAGATCTGATATATTGGCAAATTGTATATACTTTGAAAGGCCTAATTACAAAAACGAAACGATCATCATTAAAAGCCAATCTCCCAAACACTTCAACATGAAACAAACAAATACAGTACAGTAGCCTAGTTTGAACCAGTGAGGAATTAATTAACTTTAAAATTTATTTTACATTCATATTTCCATTCACTTTTTTGAAAAAAATGTTAGTGTCTTGTTAGTATTAGTTAACATTAACTAACAATGAACAATAGTTCTACAGGATTTATTAATCTTTCTTAAAGAGCCATTAAACCCCAAACCAAATTTTCTGAGATTTTAACAGAGGTATGTGTGTTGAACACCATTGAAGACAATGTTAGCATCTGTTAGATTTAATAGTAGGGTTAAAATGGTTAAATTTAAGGGGTATTTTTCCACTTTTTTTCGTCTTCCAGTTTTAAAATCTTCATCGTGGCAGTGCGGTGTTAGTGCGTTGATGACGGAGAAACATCTCCGAGTGTTGTTCTTTGCTCGGGTTTTAACAAAAAGGAAACGTTCAAATCGCTTAAAACCATAGACTGTAAAAGAAATGGCTGAACGACTGCGCAGGCTCAAACTGAGCTTGACGACGGAGATGAGACTTGAGTAACCTAGTAGCGGTGCAAAGAGAAATCTGAATCATTCCCTTCCGAATCTTGCAGAGCCGGAGAGCGCGAGTAAGAGCTGTCCATGAGCTCGCAGCAGGAGCAACTCTACAGCTCTCTATGGGCTTCTCCCTTGACTTTATGCCTCCACGTCCCCCCGAATGCTGAGCTTCTCCTCCACTCTATATGGTAATTGCTCTAGTGTGCGACAGAGTCTCGTGACGCAATCGTTAGCCTATTTTTACAAAAACATCTTCTAAATCGGCCGTAACGTAAGATACAAAGTAATGGGGCCTTTTATACATTGTCATGTTTCTTTAGTAGGGTTTGGTATCGTTTGGGTTTTATCCGATACCAGTACCTACTAGGTATTTTTTAAACGGTTCCGGTGCCTAAATGGTTCTTGAAACGGTACTCAAGAAAAGGAAACCGCACACACTTTGTCAAAAAAATAATATCCCTTTATTTACAGGGCCAAACTGGACACAATATTAACTTACAATATAAACAAGTAACATATGTTAATAATAAATAAACCAAATATAAAATAAAAAATCATATTTACATAATATCAAATAAAACAATATTATATCAAACAATATAATTATACTGGAGATTAATAGAGATTACTACCAGGGTAATATAATATCGACATGGCTACAGGTTCCCATGTTTTGTCTGCTTTAACTAGTCATGTAAGTTATCTGGTCATTTACTAGTTAAGCTCTTATCCAGTTTTATATTTCGTTCCCACTGCATATGAACATATGAAAGAGAACGTCTCTGTGTAAACCATGTTCTCTGAATAGGGAACGAGATGCTCCGTTCGCTGCCAAACTCCTCGCGCTGCTGACAAGCTTCTAGAGATATCTGAGGAGCAGAGCATGCGCGCACTAATATAATATGACGACGTGAGCGTCAAGGCGGTGCGAATGGTGATTCTATATGGGCTTAAGTTCAGACAATCGTTCTGACGCGTAATTTTACACGTGAAATGCAGCCAAACCTTGCAGCGTTTTGTCTTCGGCATCTTCAATAATATCCTCGCTATCGGCAGACGTTCCGGGAGTCTCCCGCATATTGATAACGGCTCCTGGATAATCGCAAATTAGTTCAAATCTCCCGGAATCTAGAGCGAGCGAGCAAAAGCGCGTGCGAGACAGATCAGACAGTGCTTCAATAAACCGTATAGTACGCGCACGTTGGAGAGGGAGAGGGAGACAGCGAGAGACTGCGTGTGTGCGCCTCATGCCATAGACTTTGGTTACTACCCAACCCTTTTCTTTAGAAATAAATAATGGACAAATGGAGTCTTTGGACATCTTCGATGTAAAGTTATTCGCTGTCACCAAAATGATTGGGAGTCAATGGAAGCCAACGTTTCTGATAAGTTCCGCGATTTTGACGGATTAGAAATAGGCTTGAATGAGGTCTATGCCAGACTTACTTGCAGAGTAAATCTAAATTTGCCGGAAGTTGTCTGGGTTTTCCAAGTCCACTCCGCACACACAATAAGGGAATGATTTTACTCAAACCATATTGTTGATAAATGATACAAGAACAAAAAAAGTACTAGTTATGAATAATAACGCATCAGTGTTTTTTAAACATGTAGAACTTTTTAATATTAAACATTTGAATATTACAGTAAACATCTTTAATATTTCTGTTTCAAATAGCGTTGTGTTTGAGCTGTGCTAAAGCTTAAGAGCTGAAGGAACACCCATAAACTGAAGCTTTATTAGATGGTTTTAGCTCAACGGAACACAGCCTATATATGATTGATTAGATATACAAAATCATGCAGACATTAACTTGAGAAAAGTTACATAGTGAAACTCCTGTTGTGGATGAAACAGCAGCTAAACCCAAAGAATTCACAAAGTTTTTAATGCAGTAGTTTGCTCATTATAATGTTATGTATATGACAGTCCCAATCATAGTTATTATTGTTCTGCTTTGCTGTTTGAGCGCATGTGCTAAAGGAGATGATCACCGCTAGGCCTACAGTGAAGCGCTTTACTGCAGCGATCATTTACTCAGCCAAATGATTTCTATATGAGATAAAATATATATATATATATATATATACATATACATATAACAAAATAAAAGAGATCACAGATTTGTGATTCAAACTGTTCACAACCATCATGGGGAACAGCGCACATCTGAAGCTGAAGGACATAATCCATTATTCATCAGTGTTAATCAACCTAATTTTCCTATCGAATTGACAACGATAACATTAAAAATTTATTTTCCAATACTGATATGGAGCCCTATATATCATACATCTCTGAGTGGTTATGACCATATATCTATAGGGTTTTAACTATATACATGATCACAACTTGCGTATGTCACCCTGTTTTTAAAACTGAAGTCCCTATTCATCTCATTAATTTGATCACTATTAATACTAAGTGGTTTGAAATGTACCATCATGCCTGAATTTGTTTTGGCATGATCAGCCTTCTTTTGCTCAAGTATATCATTGATAATGTGAAATTGTTTTAATCTTATGTTTTATGACCGTGATCAGTCAGTGTTGATGGAGTCAAGTATCTGTGCTGCTTCATTTGGAGAATCTCTGAGTCCTTTGTCTTTAGTAGAATGTTAATTTTTTCTTTCTTTACCTTGCTTTCAGATGAGCCCTGAGAAGGACCATATCAGATCATCATTGGAGGGTCAAGAGTCAAGACTGTGTTGACATGGTAATAAAAAGAGCATTGCATCATTTTAGAAATTGCTAGTCTAGTAAGATCTTTATCACATCATATTTTTTTTTTTACACCTGAGGCCTGTACCATGATGCTGATCATCAACTTTCTCTGTCAACTCAGGCTTTGATCCTGAGTTTAGGTGTGACATCAGTAGCCAACAGCCAATCACATGCTGAGAAAGAGAAACTCATTCAAAACTGAAATTCATTTCTCGCAAGAGAAGCAGCACAATTCACTTATTAAATAGAAATATTAAAATATTAAGAATTTAAACAAATTTACACAACAAGAAGAAAATATCTGTCTATGAAAGAGGACAACTAAAAGAAAAAGGCTTGTCACTGTATATCAGTGCAAGTAAAAGTTGTGAAGTTTATAGCTCTTCATATTTTTTATAGCTATAGCATTTTATAGCTTTATCTATTGATTCTAAAGTATATTTATGTTACCTTTTATATATTTATTTATTCATTTAAAATCTGCATTGTAGTTGATGAACTAAAATTGTACATGTGTGATAGATTAAGGAATAATAATTTCTAAATCATACAAATTTATTATTCTAAATAAACATTACTAAAAATTACTAAAAGACTTTCATGGTGCCCTTAAACCCAGGGTTGGCGCAAAGTAAACTGAAACATAGCTGGCTAGCCACCTAAACCAGCTTCATGGTAAAGGCCCCGGGTCATTTCATTGTCAAAAACAATTCCATTTACACCTGGCCACATAAATGTGTTCACAAAACGGATATAAATCCGAATCTTCAAATCCCACGCTATATTCAGATTTAAAGGTGTTCACGTCATTGAAAGCAACCACTATGAGCCACATTTTATGTATCGTCAGCTAATTTTAAGATCAATAGAGAGAGAGTAACATCTGCACTGGTAAAATCATCAAGATGACTCTGTTGATCATCTGTGACTTTAGTTTTCAATTGGTATTTTGCGCATCAGAATGCTGAAGAGATACTCAGCTACTCATCTGTAGTGATGCGTGTTGCAGAAGCACTGTCATATCTCACTATAACATGTCATTATAGCCTCTTAACTGTTTATTATTTGGCATTTTTTCGGAGTCAAATTTATACAGTGTTACCATTTATTACCTTTACTCTAGTGACCCACCACAGTTTGATCCAAATGAACCAAAAATATTTGTCTGTGTTTATTTTATATTATATCATATTTCTTTTAAATATTATTTATTTTTGGCAAAGCATCTCTCAAACAAACTAAAATCAAAAGTACAACATGGTTTATAGCGCCCTTATCAAATGGCAAAAGTCTAATTAAGCAAGTGCTGAAGAGCACACTTTACTCGCTCGATCAGCTCATGATCTGCCTTTTTCCACGCCCCGTTTCTCAGGGAATGAATGCAGTGAACTCCATCTCTGAGTTTAACATGCATTTGGCACGCAACCAGCACCAGTTACATTATTTTCACATTCGCATTATATCCACATTTTTTGTGGTAATAAGATTTTGTAATAAGATGCGTTTATAAACCTGTTTTCACTGAAACTGCAGGTTTCTGCCAGTATAACAGCTTAAGTGACGAAATTAAGAAAGTATTATAACCTCCTATTGTAAAATAATATACGCATTATAAAATATTAATTTTTCATTGACAGTTTTAGAATATTACGGTCTTAGCGATAATTCGAATAATAGGCATCTTAGTGAAGTATTATAGTTTTTATTAAATTATTATTATTAAACGGCGTAATTTTTCATGTTTCATAAATGACATCTGAATACAGGTTAAACTGAAGATGTTCTTGTTTTAAATGTCTCTTTTTCTCTTAGATGAGATCAGTGTGACGGATTCTGCTGCCAGTGATCCTGATGGAAGCGGTTCTGGAGGAGATGTTGCTGCTGGAGCTGCAGCGTCTCTAGTTATGTTGGTATGTGTCAACTAATGCTGGGTACACACCAAAATAATTTTTACATCTTATAAGATTTTCAAAATGTGTGATAAGATTTTCCAAAATCCTAGATTTAACCATTTTTGCTCCTATAGTTTTGCTCCACAACACGAAACAGGTTTTTAACCCAGAGTCTCGACTGTGAGCACAAAATCTTGCAAGAGTTCAGAATACAGAATACAGAATAGTTTTTGGAAAGGTTTTACATAACACGTTGTATAAACATTCGTGCTGTTGCCACAAATCTAGCTGATCCTCCATCTCTGCTGTCCACAACAATTTCACTTTGTGCTGCGCCATGACTGCGTTTGTTATGGGTGTCGAAATGAATCGTTTCTACGATGCATCGTGATGCAGACGAGGACGATTTGGTATCGGTTCAGTAATAGACCATTAACCGGTTATAATGCACTGACGCTTTTTTTCTGACGTCATTTATCACGTATGTGCTTTGTTGCGGTAGCATACACTGGCAGAGGGAGGCGAGTCCCCCCGAGTGCGAGTCAATAAAATACTCCAACTACTTAAAAGCCTACATCTGGCCACATTTGGCTTTTATGAACAACCCGTAAGACCTGGAGAAGACACGCGCTGTGTGCGCTCATGTCACGCACACAGATTATGCAGGATGTAATACCACTAACTTGAATAAACCGTGTTAGCCGTGTGCACCCGAGCTGTTCTTGCTTGCAGATTCACTGCTTTAGAGTAAGATGAGCTCCAATGTCACCCGAATCCACAGCAAACACACATCATCCACACGCCCTAATAATGCTCTCTAACTTAAATATCCGCACCCAATGGTCAAATTAAAATTATACTGTGTTGCGTATATAACTGGCTTAATTGTTTTGAGCCAGTTGTATACACTGAAACAATTATAAACGCAACACTTTTTGCCCCCATTTTTCATGAGCTGAACTCAAAGATCTGAGACTTTTTCTATGTACAACAAAAGGCCATTTCTCTCAAATATTGTTCAAAAT